CACTTAACCATTCTGATCCTCTTAGCCATTCTAACCTCTTAACTATTCTGAACTAAATCATTCAGCAACTGCCAAACAGCCCCTTACAGTATTTCCATGCACATAATTTATTTAGGAAATTATCCAAAATAACCATTTTATACACTTTACGTTAAAATATCACATTTCAAAGTTCTTTCATAAAATGACCATCTGGAGGGTGATTTTTGACTATTTTGGGGCGATTTTGATTATAAGGTACGGATGGGTCTTACGTATATTATATAAATCGTCCTCATTTTGTCCAAATCGCCTCATGAGGGTGATTTTGACATCTATTTCGTCTTTTAGTGAAGACAACTTATGACGCAACGATTTGATGAGACATTGGGGGATATTTTCATTGTTATTTTTTTTAATGACCAAATGTAATATATATATATAAATCTTGTAGTATTCTCTATAAAATTGTAGTGATCCAAACACTTCTACTCTCACAAGCCTTAACCTGCCACTTTGAACATATATGGAACCATTATCACTTTGACGTGATTTTATATTTGTGTTAAGGACTGTGATGGTAGATTTTGTTTAAGGGTTAAGAATTTTGAGAGTAGAAGTGTTTGGATTACTACAATTTTATGGAGAATACTACAAGATGTATATATATTATATTTGGTCATAAAAAAACAAAATATCAATGAAAATCGTCTCCAATGTCTCATCAAATCATCATTGATGTGTCAAATCGTTGTGTCATAAGTTGTCTTAACTAAAAGACAACATAGAGGTTAAAATTGCCCCCATGGGGTAATTTGGACAAAATGAGGGCAATTTGCCCATTTTCATATATAATATCTGATTTTTGTACCTCAAGTGGTATACATGTGGGACTCATCCGTACCTTATAATCAAAATCCCCCCAAATAGTCAAAATCGTTTTCCAAGAACGATTTTGATGGTTATTTTGTGAAAAAACTTTGAAAAATGGTCATTTTTTAATATATAATATATAAAATGATTATTTTAGATAATTTTCATTTATTTATCTTTTCCATCTTTCCATTTTTTTTTATCTTTTTCAATATATTTAATATTTAATCCTATTTATTAAATGTGAATTAATATTATTTTACTATCTTCACAACCTATTCTTGTTTTACCATCAATTTTTAGGGGTTGTTTGACAATTATTGAATGATTTGATGTAGAATAATTAAGTGGTCAGAATGATTAAGAGACTCTCATGATATATTGCAAAATGAAATGTTATTGTTTAGTAATCGTTTACAATGAAATTAGGATGCTTAATGGTTAAGAGAGACTCATGATACAAAATCATTCAGAGGGTTTTAGAACCGTTAAAAGACAATATTTTTTTTTTGTCAAACAAGATTTACTTCTTAACGATTCAAAAACTGTCTCTTAATTAAACTATTAAGAGGTAGACAAACAATTTCCTCTCTTTCAAATTATAAAAGGTAAAATAAGAAACAGACGTAACATTCTCAGCTAATGGTATTTTTAAGATACATTTAGAAAAAGTAAAAATATTTGATTTAAACGATAATAATAATTAAATAATAATAATGACCAGAACGGCAACATTAAGTTATAAATATAAGAGAAAATGAGAAAATAAAATAAAAACTTTATAAAACTAGAAGAAATAAATTTAGAAAAAAGAAAAAAAGAAAATGAAACTTTATAAAACTTATAGAGTAAAGATGAGAAGCGTAAAAAAAAATATGAATTCTTAATCACTTTTAACCTCAAACTCATTCATTAATCACGTTGGATACGAGGATTGATCCGGTGCATCTCATCCTAATGTAAATCTAAGGAGTGGAGATCTCTTCTTACGTTTCTGACCTCAACTTTCTTTCTCACTGAAACTACTGCTTTGAATGGTGGCCATACTTTTAGCATTTTAGAAGTTGAGATTAAAAAAAAAAAATAGATAGTGTGTATATATAGATTTTGTGGATGTCGTTTGAGCTGTGAACGAACTTAATGAACATAAAAGAAGATTTATTCATGTTTGTGTTCATTTAATTTAATCGAATAAATGAATGAACACGAACACTAAAACAAATTTTTTTTGTGTTCATATCAATTTAGTAAGAAGAAGTGTTTGTTCATCTTCATTTATGTTTGTTTGTTAATACGATAAACGAACGAACACAAATAAACCAAAAACAACCATCATTACTCAACATTATCTTTCCTAAAAAATAACATAATAAAATAAAAAACGACTAAACTTAAATAAAAATAAAATAAAATTCTATAAATTTAATTTAATTTAATTAATGATTATGCATATTAACTCATTATATATATATATATATATATATGTGTGTGTGTGTGTGTGTGTTGGTAACCGTGAGATCCAAGCTCAACTACAAATCAATAGATAAATTAGAAAATTTATAATTTTGGTAATTTTAAATTAAAATTTTAATGCAAGGACATTTTAGATATTTTAAAATTATCCTCTCTTCTCTCTGTCCCCCGTCCTCCGATGATACTACAATGGTATCACAATGCATCATATATATGTTTGGGTATTATATTGAGGTTGTTTGTGAGGTCGATCAAAGATGTAACACAGTGATATCACAATGCATCTTATATATGTTTGGTATCACACTGTGTCTTTTGTTTAACATAGTCAATATTTTTAGGTATCACCGGAAAACGGTGGCCGGAGACCGGAGGACGGACGGAGAGAGAAGAGAAAAGAGAGAGAAGAGAAAATACCTAAAACGTTACTGCATTAAAATTTTAATTCAAAATTATCAAAATTATAAATTTCCTAATTTATCTATTGATTTGTGGTTGAGATTGAATCTCACGGTTACCACAAATTAGTCAGTTATTCTTTAAATGGGTCCATATATATATATATATATATATATATATATATATATATATATATATATATATATATA